GCCAAAGGTAGGATTTCAAGCATGAAGGTAATATCAGGAACCCACTGCTCTTGCGACCACGTGTGGCCACGATCACAGACCTATAGTCTCTGCAGGAGGGAAGCGGGCAGAACCTTGTAGGGCACCCACGTCAAGTGGGCAAGCAGGACCAACACCCCCAAAGCTTCCTTGTGTTGCTTACAGCCAGTGTCCCTGCCCCAAGTGTACCCACCCTCCTGACTTCTAAAATCAGATGTTAGTCGTGCTGTGTTTGAACTTCATCCACGTGAAGCAGTGTGTAACTTGTGTGTCCGGCTCCTTTCACCCCCTCTTTGAGTGAGAACCACCTGCGTGGTTGTGTAGAGCTGATCTTTCATCGCTGTTGCTGTGGGGCAGTTCTTCAACCCACTGGCCTGGGGGCCAGATGACTCTATGTTGTTGGGGTTGGGGGATGTCTTGCACATCTTGGGATGTTTGCCAGCATCTCTGGCCTCCACCCACTGGACAGAGGGCGGTACTGACTCCTTGGGTGTGACAACTAAAAATGTCTCCAGACATGGGCAAATGTCCTCTGGGATGGCAAAACTGCCCCCAGTTAAGAACCACTGTTATAGAGTATTTCTACTGAATGAATCTGCCACCACTTTTTTATCCTCCTCGGATGGCCATTTGGTGCTTGGCTATCACAAATCAAGCTGCTGTGAGCATTCTCAGACATCTCTTTGGGTGGACGTGGGCATGCATTCCCATTGGGTGTCCAGGAGGGAATTGTTGGGTGGGTTATCCGTAGGTATATGTTTAGCTTTAATAGGTATTGCTGAACAGTTTTCTGCAGTGCTTGTATCAATTTACACTCCTACCAAGTACCTGAGTGTTCTGGTTACTTCACGTCTTTACCGATTGCATTGAGCTTTTGTTTTGCATTTCTCAGAGGCTGAGCACCTTGACATAGGGGTCCTGGCCACCTTGACATCCTCTTAATAAAGTGCCTATTAGCTCAGTCAGTAAAGAATCTGCCTGCAATGCAGAAGACCTGGGTTCTATTCCTGGGTTGGGAAGATTCCCTGGAGAAGGAAATGGCAATCCACTCCAGTATTCTTGCCTGGAGAATCCCATGACAGAGGAGTCTGGCAGGCTACATTACATGTGGTTGAGTTGGACAAGATGCAAGAGTCAGACACGACTTAGTGACTAAACCACCACCACCGTTCAAGTCTTTTCTCATCTTTCTATAGGATCACCTGCCTTTTTCTTATTGATCTTTAGCAGCTCTTTATATATGATGGATAACAGCTCTGTGTCAGATGTATGTATTGCAAATACCTTCTCTCACTCTATAGACTCACACATTTTTAGAGCTAGAGGCAATCTATGCTCCCCTATCAAACCCTCTGGTGCCTTTGGTTGTCATTACTTCTTCAGTTTGTCCTTTTAGCAAGACAATGAATTTCATAAGGGCAGGGGGCTGTTTGTTCACCTTGCAACTCCTGGCACAGAGCTTGGTGCAGAGGAGGTTCAAAAGAAATATTTGTGCAGCAAATGAATGAGTGACTTTCCCGTTGGGATGATTTTTGCAGCCCAAGGCTTCAGTGTTTTTGGCTGCTGTTGACTCTTGGACAACCATCAGTAAAAAGCGTGGAGATGGTGGCACTCGCTTCTTCCCCGCCTCCTTCACCACCGCCCCCTGCCCAGTGGCAGCCATGGAGTCTGTCTGTCGAGCCTCTGCCAGCTGGAAGTTGGCCCACCCGCACCTGCGGGAGGGAGGCGGGGCCTCTCCTAGAGAAGTCACGTTTTAATTAACTTCCCTCGCTGGCACCGGAGAGGGTAGATCATTTTCATAAACAAATGAGGAGCCAGGGCTTTGTCTGCAGCTCAGAGTGAATCATGTAGAAGGAAATCGAAACAAACCACCCAGCTGAGGCCCCTGCCTGAAACTCAGAACTCCTAGTTCTTGGGGAAGGTCAAGGCCTGGGATCCAAGATGAGAAGGAAGAGGGAGAAAAATGGTGAGGTGGTGAGTAGCAAAGAACTGATAGAGTCTCCAAGGAGGCAGCTCATTCATTCACTCAATCAACCCCTCTTTTCTGGTATCTATTCTCTGCTGATCTCTTTGCAAAGGAGGGGTGGAAATAAATACTCTTATGGGGTGTGTTGAGAACCTCTGCTCAGTTTTCCTGTGAGCCCAAGACGGCTCTAAAAATACAGTCTATTTTAAAAGTAATCAACCTTGAAAGGAAGGAAAGAAGGGAGGATGGGACAGAGAGAGAGAAGGAAAGAAGAAAGAAAGACTGAGTGGACAGTCTACCAAGGGAGACAGACATTAAACTGATCACCACACAATTAATAACCCAATTACACTACTATGTAATCTTTAATGGCTTTATTGAGCTATAATTCACATACTATACAATTTACCCCTTTAAAGTATACGATCCAATGGCTTTCAGCATATACACAGGATTGGGCAACCAGCGCCACAATCAATTTCAGAACATTTTCATTACCCCTGAAAGAAGTCTCATACCCCTTAACCATCACCCCTAAATCATTCCATTCCCTTCCCCATCTCAGCCGTAGGCAACCACTAATCCACTTTCTGTTTCTATGGATTTGCCTGTTCGGGACATTTCATGAAATAAAATCATACATGTGGTCCTCTGTGACTGACTTCTTCACCAAGCCCCATACTGTCACAGCCCGTCCCCGAGGAAGCAGCTCTACTGTTTCTAGCGTGTAATTCTATTTCTTGTTTTTGTTTTATGTTGGTTGTTTTTTTGTTTTTTTTGTTTTTGTTTTTGGCCATGCTGCGTGTTGGACCTTAGTTCCCTGACCAGGTATTGAACCCATGCCCTCTGCACTGGAAGCACAGTCTTTAACCACTGGACCACCCTAAATGTGAGCTCAGGGCCATATGAGGCCATAGACAAGGAAGTTTGTCTGCACTGAGGGCAACCCAGGAGGGCTTCACAGAGGAGGCAGTTTTTAATCTCAGGTTTAGTGAGCATTGGTTATGTGCTACCAGGAAAAAGAAACTGATAGAAGCTGTGGTTCTAGATGTGTAGGAATTTATAATCCAGGCCGGCTGGCCTGCATGTGCATTCCTAGAAATTGAGGTCACTGAAGTTCTAAGCTTATCCAAATGAACAGAACCTATAGGAAGATTTACTGGAGCCAGAGGAGGGAGACGCCACTGTGAGCCGGAGGAGTCCAGTAAGTTTGAAGAATAAGAACCAGAAAAGGGAAGGCAGGCAGGAGCAAAAGTGGCTGGGACGCCTGCAGACCCCTCAGGGTGGGGAGCGGTCTATTGTGCCCACGTCTGAGGGCCATGGTGGGGACTTGGGGGCAAAGTCGCAGAGGCGGGCGGGATTGGAAAGTGCAGGGCCCAGACTGCCAGGCTAAGGGAGGGGTTCATTCCAAAGGCGGTGATGAGCCTTTGGTCCTGGTGATGGTCCTGGATCATCCACCTTTCTGCACCCAGGTCTCTGGGAGCCCGAGCTTTGGGGGCTGACGGGGGACAGGAGAGAGGGTGAGGGCGGAGCCACCAGCCAGTCTTTGGCGAGGCTGGAGCAGTGATGTCCTGGGGGTTGTAACACCCGGCGACTGGGAGCCTGGGGCCCGCAGGGGTGCGAGGATCAGCCGCACCCACCCAGCTCAGTGAAGTCCCCGGCTCCCAGGCCTGATCGCACTGGGAGCCACGCACCCCTGGTTGGTGTCTCTTTAGCAGGCGGATCTGAATGTGGGCTGGAGAACACAGCCTGGGTTCAAACCCCAGCTCTGCCGCTTCTTCCCATGTGGCTTCATGCCACCTGTCTGACCTCTCTGTGCCTCAGTTTCCCCGTCTGAGAAATGGGGACAGCGATGGGCTGCCTCACAGGGCAGCTGTGAGGACTAAGTAAGAGGTGCGGATGGAGGACCCAGACCTCAGCAGGTGCCCACTGACCAAGAGCGGTAACGTTCTAAGCACCATAAGGACCCCTACGCTCAGGGAGCTAGCTGCTCATCTACAGAGAGGCAGCACAGGCATCGTGCTTAAGAGGGATCTTTAGCCTGGGCTTCTCTGGTGACTCTCTGGTGAAGAATGTGCCTGCCAATGCAGGAGACACAGGTTCGATCCCTGGTCTAGGAATATCCCACATGCTTCAGAGCCACTAAGCCCATGGCCCGGCCTTCCTCAATTAGAGAAAAAGCCCATGCAGCAATGAAGACCCAGCACAGTCAAAAATAAATAAATAAATAAATGTATAAATTTTTTTTTAAAAAAAAGAGCACCTGGCCAAACGCGCCTGCACGTCACACCCGGCCCTGTCCTTTAGAAGCCAAGAGTCATGGTCCTGCTGCTCTGGTTCTCAGCTTCCCTACCTGTACAATGGGGAGATGGATGTGGTTGAGCACAGAGCAGTTTCATCCCCACAAACCCCCTCTGGGGGGGCAAGGAGGAGTTGGCCCCAGACGCAAAGTGAGAGCGGCTGTCCCGGTGCCGGGAGGGTCAGCGGGCCTTGTCACCGCAGCCCCACACTCGGGCAGCTCCAGAGGCAAGGGTTGGAGGGTGCTGGCTAGGAGTGAAGGGTTAGGGACGAAGATGCCCCCTCCCTTGGGGGTGGCCCCGGTGGAGTCTCCGTGAACCAGGTCTTTCCATCCATCTCCATGATACATCATGTGGAGCACTAGGCAGGCAGATGTGGGCTGGACCCCAAGTGTGGCCGCTTGGTGCGGGACCATGCCCCCCTCTCCTGCCTCATAAATGCACCTTCTCCTTCGGGGCCTGGGTCCCAACCGCCTGCTACCACCAGGGTCCTCCTGACTCTGTTCTCCTCACCCGCCCCTGAGCAGGACCCCAGCAGGCAGGCTTCCCCAAGGTGTGTCTCAACGCCCGACAGCACTGAGCGCTCGTCTCAGGGGCGTCTGTGGCCCACACCCCAGCCGCGCTGCGATCGCCCCCAGGTCCTGGGGCCGCTGATTTCAGTGTAACACCTGGGTCTGAGATCCCACTCCTGACCTGTGCTCTCTGTGCTTCCCCAACAGGCTGAGCTCGGGAAGCCCCGGGAAAGAAGCTGCAGTCTGCCCGGAATTAATTTCAATTACGGACTCTACATCCGGGGGCTGGATGGAGGGGTCCCTGAAGGTGAGCAAGCGTCCTTGGTCGCCAGAGGGACTTGGGCCCTCTCGCCAGGCCACATGGCAGCTGGCCACACTCCAGGAAAAGGGTCGGGGGTCTGCCCTGCAGCACGATTCCAAGTCTGGGCTTAGCCGAGGCAGAACCACACAGGGTCCAGGTCGAACGTGTCAGAGAAATAGCAAGGGTCCCTGACCGTGTGGAGCCTTGTCCCCAGGGAGGAGACTGTCTGTGCTCTGCACCTTCTGAGCTGCAAGCCTGGACAGGGTCAGGACCAGCCCTCTGATCGCTCAAAGGAGGCCTGCTGCTGCTCTTCTTTAATCGCTAAGTTGTGTCCCACCCTTTGTGACCCCACAGACTGCAGCCTGCCAGGCTCCTCTGTCTGTGTCGCCATTTCCTTCTCCAGGGGATCTTCTTGACGAAAGAAGACACAGGGATAGAACCCGTGTCTCCCACATTGGCAGGCGGATTCTTTACCGCTGAGCCAGCAGGGAAGCCCCCACGGAGGTCAAGGGCCGGCAAGCCCAGCTCCGTGAAGGATGCTCAGGCACCATCTAGAATCTGGGAATCCTGACCCCTCCCTTTCCGGGGAGCCGAGCAGGGCTGTCCCTCAGTCGGTTCTGGGTTAGTGAAAGATATTTGTGCCCCAGTTTCCTCCCAGTGAGATGCCACGATCGCTTTACTTCCCTGACTGACTTTCGTCTTTCCCTGCCCTCAGCCATTGGACACTGGAACGTGTATAAACAGCAGCCGACCTGCCCCCACGAGCTGACCCGGGATTATATCGCCATGAACCGAGGGGCAGTGAAGGCTGGCCTGGTCACCGCCCGGGAGAATTTGCACTACCGTCAGCTCAACGATATCCGCATCAGTGACCAGGATGACAGGCGCCTCAAGAAGGAACCGCCCTCCCTCCCTCCAAATATGACCTTCGGGATCCGAGCACGGTAAGATGGCTGGTACCCAAGGCTCCATCCCCTCACCATGGCAGTGACAGGCTGCTCATGGTTGAGAACAATGTGGGAGCGGGACTCTGGACTCCAGGGAGGGGTGAGTGATCCAGGCCTGGCCAATCAGCGTATTTCACAAACCACCTTCATGGTGATTGGCTCAGAGGCAGACATGTGACCCATGTCCCAACTCTGGAATGCGTAACATTCTATAAAAAAATGTGGTTGCATGTAATCAAGTCTCAACTCAAACAACTTGGGTTTTTTTTTTTTTCAAGGGGAATTTATTGGCTCACATGAGTGAAAGGGAAGAGCTTCAGGCATAGCTGGATCTAGGCAATCAGGCAATGTCATGTTTGTCTCTCTATGACTTGGCTGTGCTTCCTAGTTTTGGCTCCAGTCTCTGATAAGCTTCTTCCTCACTTGGCAAAATGGCCAGGGACAGCTGCATCCCTAGGTCCTATGCTTTTAGTGGCCTCAATGGAAAGGAACTATAAAAGCTTTGAGGTTAAGATTCTTTGGTCTGACTTCAGTACCATGCTTGTCCCTGACCCAACCACAGGGGCAAGTAGAAATTGCAAAATACACTGATTGGCCAGGCCTGGGTCACCATGCCTTGCCTCTGCACCAATTACTGAGGCCGGGGGATTCTGATGCTCTGATTGGTCAGGCCTGACCCCTGGCCCCTTGTTGGAGGGAGCTTGCTTGGAATCAGTCTCCACAATCTATATGGGCTGATAGTGGAAAAGATGTGGCAAGAGGGATTCTGACCCAGAAGGATGAGAACAAAACACAACAGCTTGCAAAAACAGCAAATGTCCAGCACAGCAGAGTTTCCTAACCCGTAATGTGTGTTTGTCCTTTTGTGTCTGGCTTGTTTCACTGAGCATAATGTACTTGAGAGTCAGCTATGCTGCAGTGTGGATCAGAATTCCTTTCCTTCTTAAGGCTAAATAACAGTCTAAACTATATCACACTTTGTTTATCCATTCAGAATAGTCTTTGGGGTTGCTTCCACCTTTTGGCTCTTGTGAATAGTGCTGCTATGAACATGGGTGTGCAAGTATCTGCTTGAGTCCCTGCTTTCAATTCTTTTGCATATATACCCACAAGTGGAATTGCTAGACTACGTGGGAATTCTATGTTTATTTTTGTTTTAACTGCTGTGTGTGTTTCCCACAGTGTCCGCCACCATATTTTTGTACGCTTTTCCCTCTGCCTTTTCTCACCATCCTACCTGGTAAAACCTACTTGTTCATCAAAGCTCAATGCAGCATCCTCTCTTTGGTAAGCGTTCCCATCTCCCTGACCTCAAATAGTATGCACCACTCTCTTACTGGAAATGCATCTCTGTTCATCAGCCCTCAAAACCTGGAATGTGGCACTAGAGACACATTGGAAAGTCACTCGTGGGCCAGATTGCCTAGTTATCTGTACATCATCCTTCTTCCCACTTTGAAATAACACCCAAGTCAGTCTCTGAAGGCAAGGCAAGGTTCTCCAAGACTGCCTGCAGTGCAGAGCCCCCGCTGTGTGGTCGCTAGCCTGGCCCATTCTGGTCACCAGTGTCTTGAGGACAGCATGGTGGCCAGGAGGAGCCCTGGCCAGGAGCCACCTGGGAATTTAGTCACACCTTCATTCCCAACTCTCTTTCCTTCTAGGACTTCTGCTCCTTCATCTCTAAATAGGATGTTACAGCAGTAACCAGCATTCTGGGATTCTCAGGGTATGTTCCGCCTCTACATCAATTCCATCCCATCATCGTTAAAACCCTGTGCATCCTAGTGTTCATAGCAGCACTATTTAGCCAAGATCTGCAAGCAACCTGGTTGTCCATGGACAGATGAATGGATGGAGAACATGTGGCATATATATATATATATATATATATGTTAATGTTAGTTGCTCAGTCCTGTCTGACTCTTTGCGACCCTATGGACTGTAGCCTGCCAGGCTCCTCTGTCCATGGACTTCTCCAGGCAAGAATACTGGAGTGGGTTGCCATCCCCTTCTTCAAGGGATCTTCCCAACCCATATATATGTACACACAAGGGAATATTACTCAGCAATAAAAAAGAATGAAATAATGCAATTTGCAGCAACGTGGATGTACCTATGGATCATCATACTAAGTGAATTAGGTGGAGAAAGACAAATATGAGATATCACTTATATATGGAATCTAAAATAGGATACAGATGGATTTATTTATAAAACAGAAACAGACTCCCAGACATAGAAAGCAAACCTATGGTTACCAAAGGAGAAAGGGGATAGAGGAGGGATAAATTAAGAGTTTGGGATTAGCAGATGTACATAAAACAGATAAGCAACAATGTCTTATTGTATAGCCCAGGGAACTATAGTCAATATCCTGTAATAAACCGTAATGGAAAAGATTATGAAAAAATATATATATATATGTTATATATGTACAACTGAATCGCTTTGCCATACATGAGAACCTAGCCCAACATTGTAAATCAAACACTGCAGGAAGCAGGCAGGGTTACTTACCCAGCTGAGCCACGGAGAGATGAACTGACCTCCCTAAGTTCACACAAATTTTTCACAGCAAGGCCTGGCCTGGATTTTTAACTGGTGTGCTTTTATTTAGAAATACAAGGGACTTCCATGGTGGTTCAGTGGTTGAGATGTTGTGCTTCTATTGTAGGGTGTATGGTTTTGATCCCTGGGCAGGGAACTAAGATCTTGCATGCTGTGGTGGCCGGGGGCAGGGGGTGGGGGGTGCAGCTAAACATTTTATTAAAAAAAAAAAAAAAAGAGAACCCAGCACGTTGGCAATCATTTAGTTCGAAGCCCTTCTTTGAAACAGGAAAACAGAAGTTCAGAGAAGTGAAGAAATTTTCACAAGGCCACACAGCAGGGTGTGACCAAACCAAAGCCAGATCTTGAGCTGGCCAGCACTCCCCACCCAGGGCTTTCTTCCCCTCCTTGGGGCCGAGGTACAGCTCGACCCCGCACAGTGTCTGGTCCTAGGGCTGTGTGGCTCTACATACAATGGAAAAGCTTAAGTCAGCTGGGCTCAGAAAGAACATCCATTGCCATCGAGCTTTCAATATAAAAATCTTAAATTGCTATAAAACTAAGTGGCTACAATTCCAGGGAAAGGACGTGATGAAGTGCCGGCTGTATCTTCTGTGATGGTAAATGGGCTTTGCATATGCAAATTGAATGGATTTTAAAATGGTATTTAATGACAATTTTCGTAGCAGACGTTAACATTAATTGCACAAAAATGAAAATGCTGCATTAGGTTGCTGTTAGCAGCAAATATCGTGGCCATAAAGCTTTATCTTTATCAACAGCAGCCCTTTCTGATGTGACAGGGCAGCTCAGCAAATTGCAAGCAAAAGGGCTTTTATGGAACAAAAATACCCCCCAAAGCAGGCCCAAATCAGCATCAATTTCGCTTTATTTCTTTGTAAATGGAGGTTAAATGGCTGCTGGAAAAGCTTTTACTGCAACGCCCGACCTGCCCGCGAAGCCCCTCAACCTTCCAACATCTGTGCAAGGAACAGTTACAAAATCATCGCCCCCTCTCATAATGGGGCTATTACTTTAAAGTTATGGGACCAAGGCCCATTCTCTAATGATCACCTTTTACAAGCCTCGATTGTATTTATTTCTTTACTTTAAAAGCATGTTAGAAACCAAATCCGATTACATCTGACTACCCGAGGAGTGGTCGGGGTGATTTGGTCCAAAAAAGAAAGAAGCAAAGAAACAAATGACTACTGTTTGCTCACAAGTACGGATATGTTAAAAAATAAAGTTCCACTTCAGACTGAACACACGAGAGGCCTACAGTTAGGGATGCTGCGTTTGGGGGTTTAACTGCCATGTGAGAACACTCTGATCACAGCTCTGCCCCCTGCCTCCCCCAGTGTCAAATCCTCTGGCCTTTTATACATTTCACGATGGACAAAATAACTAGACCTGAGGGGCCGTGTGCACCTCCACCTGCCCGCTCATTCGACCTCTCAACGCCAGACGGAGTCAAAACCTGAATCTGGAATTATTCAATTACTTCCTTTCCAGTTAGCTGATTTGGTTTCCAATCCACACCAATTTGTTACAGACTGTCCCTAAATCAGAAAGGTACGCTTTGATCCATGAGCCTCTGGCTAGAAGGAAGTGGACACCTAAGCAATTATCTGGGAAAGGATGCCCATGAAGACACGTGATCATGAGTAGGGGTGGAGGCCAAGTCAACCTTCAGAGGTGTTCATTTGGCCCAGGCAGTGATTTAAAAAATCACAATTTCAGGACTTCCCTGGCAGTCCAGTGGTTAAGAATCCATGCTTCCAATGCAGGGGGCACAGGTTTGATCCCTGGTGGAAGATTCCACTTGCTGAAGAGCTCAGCCAGAAAAGTTTGAATGACTTGCCACATTAAAAAAAAAAAAAAATCAGGAGATCTCATATAAAAACAGGCAGTTTAGTAGCTACGTTGTGTCTGACTCTTTGCAACCCCATGGACTATATAGGCCACCAGGCTCCTCTGTCCATGGAATTTTCCAAGCAAGAATACTGCAGTGGGTGTCCATTCCCTTCTCTGGGGGATCTTCCCCACCCAAGGATTGAACCCTGGTCTCCTGCATTGCAGGCAGATTCTTTACCAACTGAGCCACCAGGAAAAAGTCAGAAGCCCAGGCATCCTGGGTCTGCTCTCCTGCCTGCCACTGGGGGCTGGGGCTGAGCAGCAGCGCCCGCTGCAGGCAGAATCCACGGGTGCCCTTCTGCCTATCCTAACCTGCACCCAGCTTGGCTTCTCTCATTTCCGTGACCCATCCGGTCCCAGGAGGCACTGAGTTTGCAGCTGCTGGTATAGACAAGTCATCTTGACTGTTCAGCCACCTGCTTCCTCTTTTTTTTATCCTCTGATAATAACAGGAGCCACCATGAACAGAAGCTGCTCTGAACTGAACTTACACGTGGCAGCTACCTGCACACATACCTGCTGATGAATCCTAC